CCAGGCCTCATTGTGGAGATGGAGGCCAAGTTAATCTGGCTGCTTTGAGTTGACACTGGGGAGACGGAGGGTTTAGGGCTTCCACTTCACAGATACTGGGGCATAGGAGGCTTTCTGCTGTCAAGCACTGGAAGGTGATCAAGGAGACACCATCTAAGGAGACCATCTAAGCCTGGATGAGTGTAAACTAAATAAAATCAAGTTGAGAATAGGTCAAGATTAATAACACCACTACCAAGATTGATTTGTTTGGTTTCTGTGCATTTGTTTGGCAGGACAGGTTTTCTCAGTATAGTCCTGGCATTGTCTCTCAGGCTGGGATTAAAGGCATGGTGATTATAATAAATTTACAGTTTTACTACCATGATCTGGATGGAGTTCCCTTTGAAAAGTGTTCATTAATAGGATGGTGGTGTCTGGCAATGTCTTAGTCTAATTTTGTGGTCCTTGTAAAGCAAAGGAAGCATGAGCAGAATTATACCGTGCAAACAGCAGTTCACTTGTGGCCAGGGAAAGCATGGAAATCCATTCGTTTGACTTAGTGGAGTAGCTGTGAGTACTACTCCATCAGGCAGCTAGTTGCCCATCTAGAGGCCTGGAAAGCCTGCCTCTCTGTTTCCCAGTTATCAAAGGCTTTAACTTCCATTACGCTTTTCTGCCTGGTGGTTAACACCGTGCGAGGAGCCAAACTCTTCACTTTGCTTTTACTTTCTAAAGGCAAATTGAGGGTCAGGTCCTCAGTGGTCCCTTGGGCTTGGGAAGGGCCCCTTGCGCCTCTAGATACTCTTTTACCGGTTGCTGCACGTGTTGAAACTCTGAGAATGGCCTCCTTGAAAGCACAGCAATGGCCTGTGCTGACTCACGTCTACAGTGCACACTGGCCAAGTCCCTCATGAGGTCCACAGGGCCTCTGTGCACAGAGGATGCGACTCACCACAGCTGTACAACTCTTTGAGAGGCCCCCACAGTCCCCTAGGACCTATCGACTTGAAGGATAAAGGTTGAAATACTGTCCCATTTAAGCCCTCTGACCACACTGGTACAGGTCTCCAAGAATGGGTACTGAACACACAGAAAATTAGCTGCACCAGTATTGAAAAACATAACACACTTTAAAATTTAGCTGTTACATGATACTTAAAGTTTGGCAGGGGCGGATTTTTAAATGAACCTGACAGAAGATTAAGTTTCTAATCAGAAAGTTGATACATGAGGTAGAAATTCCAATTACTTTGTAAGAAAGCTGAAAATACAGGGTTGAGTCTTTCTTTCCCCCCATTCTAGCAACAGCAAAGTCTAAAGAACCCCTCCCAGATGAGCGCTTTGTTAGACCGTGAGAGTGAAGCTATACCATGGGGGCAGAAGCCATCATGTCCCGAGTCTTTTCCCAGGCAACGGGGGATGTTCTTATAATACATACTGGATGAAAGCAGAGACAACACTAAGCATTCAAATATACAAGCCTACAGGGCCATTTTCAGTCAAACTACCACAGATGGAAAGACAAGGAAAGGAGCTACTTACAGTGCAGGCCTGTACTGAGGCAACAACACACACTTGCAAGGAGTGTCTCTGCCATGAGAGATGTAGTTACAGGGCAGGAGGGGCAGGAAAGGAAGGTGTTGCTTCCCTCAGACACTTCCACAGTTGACCCCGGAATTACCAGTGAGTAGTCATTGTTCGGTGAATCAACATGTCTCCTGGCTGGCCATTACTAGGTGACACTTACAGAAATAAAATCAAGCATCTAGAAAAATGGAGTTACCTTAGGGCTAGGAACCAATCCATCCACAGTTATGCGAATTATCAGTGGAGAAGCTATACAAATGGCTTGGCTCTTGCTAACAATCCACTACCTAGTTAATATTACCCGTCTATAAACCCTTGGGAGGCAGGCAGGGTCTTATGACCACCCCTAGGCATGAAACAAAAGGCTCAATTCTGTCTGGTCTCCAGGGGGCCATCACAGGTGCTGGGTTAAGAGGAAAATGGTGATGCCATGCTCAGAAACACTTCAATTGTCCCTCCCACTCTTACACTGTTTCTGTCCAGTGCCTGTGTGTGTGTGTGTGTGTGTGTCCCTGTCCATGAACACTGTCTTATTAGGGATCAGCACCAACAGCCACTTGTTTTCTGACACCCCAACCACTCATGAATCTCAGCCCTAACTGTTGCCTGCAGAAAGTTGCCTACCATTTTGCTAGTGTGGTGCAAGGGTCCAGAACTGAGCAACGCCAGACAGCACGTCTCCCCTGTACCTGCGCAGCCCCTACACTCACCCATGAAGCTCCCAGCTCAGTCTCAGCTTGAATTCTCCCCAGCCACCAAGCAGTGTCTTCAGCGACGGAGCTTGCCATCTAGTTCCGGTGAACAGCTAACAGCACTGGCAACAGCGTGTGCTGCTTGGGGACTGTCCTCCACAAGCAACTCCAAGAAAGGAAGCCCACCTGTGGCAATGAATTTTCACCAACACACCTCCTGCAAACACTTCCCATACACACAGGGTATTTTCATTCAAACTCTTCTACTATTGTTGTAACATCTACAGGCACGGGCTATTGGGATGTTTTTTCACTTAAATTACATGTATGGATGTGTCTTGTGCGGGGTTACATGCGTAAGTGCAGGTATCTGTGGAAGCCAGGAGAGGGCGGTAGAACCCCTGGGTCTGGAGTTACAACCATTTGCAAGCCAACTGAGTCGAGTGCTGGGAACCAAACCAGGGTACTCTGTAAGAGCAGGAGGTGTTCCAGACTGCTGAGCCATCTCTAGTCTAGCGTCCAGGGTTTTTCTCACTTACTTTGCATCACTTCTGTTGTAGGTTTGAGTAAGAATGGCCACCATAGGCTCATACATTTGAATGCTTAGGTATCAGGGTGTGGCTTGAGAATTAGAATGATTAGGCCTGGCCTTGTTGGAGCAAGTGTGTCACTGGGGTGGGCTTTTAGGTTTCAAAAGCCTATGCCAGGCCCAGTGTCTCTCCTGCTGCCTGTGGATGAAGATGTAGAACTCTCAGCTACTTCTCTAGCACCGTGTCTGCCTGTGCGCTGCCATGCTCTGGCCATGATAATGGACTAGTAAACCTCTGAAATTGTAAGTCACCCCCAATTAAGTGGTTTCTTTCATAGAGTTGTCATGCGCAGTCTCTTCACAGAAACAGAATAGACTAATTCCAAGAATTCCCCATGTGCCTGCCCTGTGCACACGTGTACCTCCCTTCTGGTCGTCACTGTTTCAGCTCACACGGGTGCTTTTCTAACTCTGTGGAACACTCACAGGCTGGCATTATGTCAGCGGTGACACCTTTTCACACAGGGGTCTCAGGATCACTGAGCACCCACAAGCCACCATCCCAAACAAGTATCAGCTGGACTCGACAGTCAGGAGCTAGAGGGCAGTAAATAGATTAACAAGATCCAACAGCATGAGGATTCTGTCACCTGAACCACGTGTTTCCATCACTCATCTCTACCCTTTCTTCAATGATCAACACTGAGCTGAGAATACAGTTCAGCTGCTAATCTGCTGTGTACCTTCTCACCAGGCTTGGTGGGGAAGAGCTGGTTCTGGTCCTAACTGGCCTAGAGCTCAGACATGCAACCCCACAGCTCCCTTGCTTCAACAGCCCCTGGAAGCAAGATATACAACACTGTTGTTGCTTCACCTGGTGCTCTGGCCACCGACAGTGCTGGGCTAGCAATCATGCATGCCTTATAGGACATGACTTGCCACCTCTTGGGAACTTGGACTTTCTCAGCTACCCCATCCTATTAAATAAACATCTGCTCGAGCCTGAGCATCCCGAGGCAGACCGTTTGCCATCACTCTCCTGGGTAGGCCTGTATGCAGGCCTCCGTCTCCACACTCTGTTCTGAGCTTTTTATCCTAGTAAGTGAGAGAGACCTGCTGTTTAATTCCTCCCGTGGGTTCCAGGTTTGGGATCTCAAGAACTGGCGTTTGTTTGTTTCGGGAAGCACACATTTAATCACATCTTCCATCTCATCTCTCTTCTCTGTACCTTTCCTGCCAATACGCGACTAACCCGGGAGGAGAGTACCTGCGTGTCTCTCCTTATTGTGATGGCTCACTTTTGGGTAAGCTCCTGCCAAACTGACACCTCAGCCTGCTACATGCCCCACTGCCTGCAGCGAGGAGCGTGCGTCTTGCAGGGACTGTCAGATTCTCTAGCCTTTTCTGCCACACCGGGGAGCACCCCATATGTGGCCCACCTCATCTTTCACAGAGACATGCTGCACCCAAGCTGCAGTGGGGGCTGTGAAGCTGGCAACGCAGCAGGACGGCTGCCCATCCACGGCACTTTGGAATACAGTGACTCGGCTGGGCTACCTGCCTTGGGTGCAGCACCCTCAAAAGGTGCCCTCCCGTGCTGTGATCACGCCCGTTGGAGCCAAGGCAAGGGCTCCTGCTGTGCACAGGCCCAGGCAGTCTTAGTTCATTCCTGTGGCTGGGGTAAAATACCTTCACAAAAGCAATTTAGGGGAGACGGTTTATTTCGGCTCACAGTTCCAGGCTACAATCCATTACTGTGGGCCAGTCTTGGTGGCAACAGTTGACACAGCAGGTCACACTGTATCCATGGTCCCACGGCAGACAGCAAGGAATGCCTGTACTCAGGCCCTTCTGTCCTTTGTATTCAGTCCATAAAACAGTGCCAACAGCATTCAGCACTCTTCCTACCTCAATTAACCCAAGGAAGGAAACCTCTCACCGCTGGGCCCAAAGCTAATGTAACCTAGATAATTCAGCACTGAGATCCTTTCCCAAGCGGTTCCAGATCATATCAAGTTGACAAATGAAACAAATTACGATCCCAACACAGAAACAGAATTTTAAGCCACAGCCTCCCTTCCTTCTCGATGTTTCACACTGATGCAAATACAGCCCAACTTGAAAAGTGTGAACTCTGAAGACATTATGAAGGTTCATTAGTCCCAGACAGGGTATCAAAGACAGGGACAAAGAATAATCCTACCCAAGTGTAGCTTGAGGAACCACCGAGTTTAATTGGGGGTATTTACAAGAATCCAGGCAAGTCACGGGCAGCCACTGTAATGGAAATGTCCATCTCCCGGCACCCACCAAGCTCCCACACTTCTTACACTGACAGAACTGCCCACCATCCATCACTGTAAGTTTCTGATAGAACTGTGACCTTGAAGGCCTCACAGCTTTTATTGTTACTTGGAAAACTACTTCCAGCATGAGTTCATTCATGGAATCTAAAGGAGCAATGATATCTAAAGGTTTTAATACACTTTACATTCACATTTTTCTCTCCATCATGAGATTTCATTCATGTTACTTGAAAGGACCTGTGACACCTGACGTCTTTTCCACATTGCTTATATTCATGTGGTTTTTCACCACTGAGTTCTTTCATGATTTTAAGGCAAAAAGGGATAAATGAAAGACTAACCATATCCTGTACATTCATAGGGCATTTGACCAGCATGAATTAACTTACTTCTCTGAAAAGAAGTATGACAAGTGACATTTACCACATTGGTAACAAATACAAACTTTGTCCAGCATGAATTCCTTCATGGATTTGAAGGACACCCTGACCCCTGAAAGGCTATGCCACAGCTTACATATAAAAGGCTCTTCCATCCCTGTTTTGAGTTCCCGACTGTGTCTTATGTGGATGGGGATATTTTGCAACATCATTTACATTCAAAGGGTTTGATATCTGTTCTTTCATTCATTTGAAGGAAATGGGGATAAAGGAATTAGATAATCTTGGCATTCATATGGGTTTTCCACTCCATGAACGGACTGATGTCTTTTAAAGGAACTATGCCGACTAAAGGATCTGCCACACTGAACACACTGATACGGTTTCTCTCCAGTGTGTCGTCTTTCATGTGATCGAAGGTAAGAGCGATGTGTGAAGGTTTTACCACATTCTTTACATTCATAGGGTTTCTCTCCAGTGTGGCTTCTTTCATGAAATCGAAGATAATTGTAACTTGAAAAGGCTTTGCCACAGTGTTTACATTCGTAGGGTTTCTCTCCGGTGTGCGTTCTCTCGTGCAATCGAAGCGAAGACTGACATCTGAAGGCTTTCCCACACAGCTTACACTCATAGGGCTTTTCTCCTGTGTGTGTTCTCTCGTGCACTTGAAGTAGGGAGGGGTAAATGAAGGACTTCCCACACTGCTTACACTCATACAACGTCTCTCCACCATGAGTGATTTTATGTCTATGATAGGAAGCCTGACACCTGAAGGCTTTCCCACACTCTTGGCATTCATAGGGTTTTTCTCCTGTATGAATTTTTTCATGTAACTTCAGAGAAGTAAGCCACCTAAAGGCTTTCCCACATTCTTTACACTCATAGGGCTTTTCTCCAGTATGAATTCTTTTATGTAACTTAAGGGTCCTGTGACTTCTAAAGAATTTCCCACATTGTTTGCATTCATAGGGCTTTTCTCCAGTGTGAATCCTTTCATGTAACTTGAGGGCCCTGCTATATCTGAAGGTTTTCCCACACTGTTTACACTCACAGGGTCTTTCCTCGGTGTGAATTCTTTCGTGTAACTGGAGGGCACTGAGATACGTGAAGGCTCTGCCACACTGCTTACACTCGTAGGGCTTCTCTCCAGTGTGAATCCTCTCGTGCAAATGGAGGGCGCTGAGGCCTCTGAAGGCTTTCCCACAGTCTTTACACTCATAGGGTTTCTCTCCAGTGTGAATTCTTTCATGCAATTGGAGGGCACTGGGATACCTAAAGGCCTTACCACACTCTTGACACACATAGAGTTTTTTCCCAGTATGATTTTTCTCTTGTTTTTGAAGGGAACTGGAAGTTTTATCACACTGATTACCATCATCATCATTTTCATCAGTCTGGCTTCCTCCAACTTCCTTGTAGTCATAGCTGTGATGTCCATTGTAAGTCAGGTGATACAGTCCAAAGGTCTTTAGACACACCTCACACACAGAAGGCCCACTCGAAGTCGGAGTCTCCGTGTGTCCTTCAACCCTCGTAAGAAAATCAGAGTCCTGTGGCTTCTGTTCATACTCCTCATTTTCATACTGTGTGCATTCAGAGTGAGAGACGATGTGCCTATTAAAAATGAACGACACGTGAAAATTCCTCCACCCACACTGCTGCTCATGCTGAGACTGGTATTTGGATAAGGTTGCCCCACCCTGAGCACCTTCATTACCAGAGACCTTTAAATGTAACTACTGTGAGAGATGACAAGCACATTAGTGACAGCTGTTTTACTACTGTTTGCTTATTCGACCATCTTTCTTGGACAGTCTGCTACCCAAAACAGCATGATGTGTGCCTTCATATGAAAAATCTGGAAATAAGTGGACTGACGGCTCTACAGTATGCTTCCCACAGGCCTAGGGTCAAAATAGGAGCATTCGTCAGTGCAGGGTCCCAGAACTGGTTCTAGGTGAAAGACTAAAATAATATATAGGGTGAAAATTTCCTATTGACAAACGAATTTAAAGTTGGGCTTGTTTTCTTGTTAAATTTTCATGGCACAGCAGCTGAAGAAAAGGCTCAGTGGTTACGAGAACAGGCTGTTCTTCCAGAGAACCCTGATTCAATTCCCAGCACCAACATGGTGGGTTAACAAGCTGTAAATCCAATTCCAAAGGATCTGATGCCCTCTTTTGGCTTCCAAGGGCACAGCATGCATGTAGTACATAGACATACACACAAGCAAAACACCCATATACAGAAAAATAAATAAATCTTGCCAAGCAGTGGTGGTGCATGCCTTTAATCCCAACACTAAGGAGATAAAGGCAGATAGATTTCTGTGAGGTCAAGGCCAGCATGGACTAAAACGTGAATTTCAGAACAGCCAGGGCACCACAGAAAACCCGTATAAAAAAAAAAAAGAAGAAGAAGAAAAACCAAAAAATAAATATAAAAAATTAAATCTTAAAAGCAAAATTTTCACGGCACATTAAGTCTTCTTTGAGGGACATTTACTCCCACTTGTGCATGCAGATTACCTTAGATTTATTTCAGGTTCTTCATAATGTTCTCCAACTGCCTGGTCGTCCCATTCATATCCTGAAAGTCACAGAAAACGTGAAGAATTATCACAATGCGCAATTACAACTGTGCCTAATTTCTTCCCCGCATTCTTTCCTTTCCGCATCCACACTGCAGCGGCCATCAGTAACCAGGAACATTTGTTCTCTGGCTTACGGAACGACGCTAAGATGATGTCCTCACCTATGGCAGTGAGGTTCCGGCAGGTCTCCAGCATCACATCTCCATAGAGACTCCTCTGAGAAGAATCCAGCAGATCCCACTCTTCCTGGGTGAAGTTCACAGCCAGATCCTCAAAGCTCACCAGATCCTGAAACATCCCATATTTGTATATGGAAGAGGGTGTGGGAACAACACACCTGTGCAGTCTGACAGTGTGACAGCAGAACTGTATGGTTTCCAGCAGTTCTAGCGGAAGCACAGAGACGGCAGAGGGACCACTCTCCTCGTTCGTTACAGCACTGGGAGGAGGTGCGCCCCTTCCCCACCCCAGTCCCTTTCTCCAGCCATCCCCACTTCTTGTCCCAGGCACACCCTGTCATCTGATTAGCATCAGGACTCAGGAGGCTGGCTGTCCTGGAAATTCATATTCAGGGTTTCGCCTTGCTGGCCTGAAGACCACCATCCTAAGAGACTGCACATGAACACGAATGATAAGGGTAAATGACTCAGCATGGCAGCTGTGAACACTCCTGCTTCCCTACTGACAGTCTGTTCATCGCTTCCAAACTCAGACGCATCTCGAGGGTAAGACACAGCCTCCCAAAGGTGACTTCTCCGATGTATAAGGGCGATACCTGCCCCTGGCAGGGGATGTACTCTATCCTCTCCTTGAGCTAATCCAACCACACTGTTACTTGTCTCCACGCAGTCTTATTCCTGCCTCATTTCTTCTTTCAAAGTTCCAGAGAGGACTTCCTCTCCTCAATGAACCCAGCTGTCATACAAATGTACCCATTAAGGGGCTGTGGAGATGGCTCAGCGGTTAAGAGCACTGACTGTTCTTTCAAAGGTCCTGAGTTCAATTCCCAGCAACCTCATGTTGGCTCCCAACCACCTTGAATGAGCTCTGATGCCCTCTGCTGGCATGCAGGCAAAAGATTGTATACATAATAAATAAATAAAATAAAATAAATGTACCCATTAATGCAGATTGGAGGTATCCTAGACAGGCCCAAGGAGGGGTACACCAACTGTTACACTGAACCTCATTTTAGACAACCTCAAAGAAGCCAGATAAACTGTTGTTCCAAATCCTCTTCAGAAGAGGAAGGAGGGGAACAGGAGACAAAGAAATGGTCTAGGCAGTTTACACGGGCAGGCAGCATGTCAGGACGGATGCTTGCCCCCACTGGACAGAGGCAGGAAGTGCATAGCCTTGTGGGTTTTGCCTTTATAACATGTGGGAATCCTGGGTGTGGATACGGCTAGTGTCCATCATCCTGGCCAGTATTTAATAAAGCCTGCTTCAAGTTTAGCTAAAAAAAAATTTGGTAATGGCCTTATTCTCTCTGAGTGAGGATCAACACCCCAAGAAAAGACCCCGATTTTTCTGGTAACATCTAGCGACTGAGGCATTACTTGGTGCTAAACATGCTGTTCTAGTCATTATTTTAGACCTTTGATTGGTAAAGAAAATGGAAAAGGTATCTTATTCTTAAAAGGCTTACATGTGCAAACTATAAAATAGAAAATGGCTATGTAGAAGTAGTATTTCAGGTGCACTCATAAGCAAAGGAGGACAGAGGTGGCCATGGAACAAATCAGGATTCTCCAGCGGAGTAAGACTGCAAGAATTAACAGATACCACAACGAATATATATTAGACTGGCTTACCTGATCCGGCCTGGACAGTCCAACAATGGCCGTCTCCATGATGCAGAGGCTCCAACCTGGTGCCAAAGGCCTGGGGCACACCTGGACAACTTCTGGTCTCCAGTCCTCAGTGGAGGGTGGCTGTGGCGGTGATGGCTGTGGCGGCGGCGGCAGGACAGTCGCACTCACCACAAGAAGTGAAGGCGGGCAGGAACGCAGCACTGCTTCTTCTGTGGACTCCTCAGTGCCAAGGCTACTTTCAAAGAGCCACCCGCTATACAGCAGGCTCTTCTCGCCTGTCAACCTGCCTGAGCTTCCCAGGCAGACCTGCACAGAGACAGACGGGCCTCTTAGCTGATTCCAGATGGTAAAAGTTCCATCTAAGGTTCTGAAGTGGTTAGCTCTGTTTTTACTGTTCGCAGCTTCCTAGCAATACTTTATTACAGGGTCATCGGGAACGTCACCTTTTTAGGAGTCCTCTGAAGGTCAGAGACTGTGCTCCACCTTTATCTTTATCTTGTCGATGTTTTCAAGTCTTGACTTAATACCCAGAACTCCACAAGAAAAACTCTGAAATCATCCAATGTAACAAATCAACAGGCTAGATCTGAAAAAGTCATATACCAATAACTAAGAGCAGGGACATGGCAATATAAGGGGAAATAAATACAGAGACGTCGAGATCAAGAAGAGAAAAACTGCTATACAGAAAATCCACAAAAACCTGAGGAACTACTCAAGGAGTACTGAAAACTTGAGACATCAATATACAAACAAAAGACCAACATTCTCCAGTGACAGCAGTGAACAACTGATGTACAAATACCAATTCTACATCATGTGTACAGCACCTCACATTAGAAAAAGGGTAGGTGGGCTGGAGAGATGGCTCAGAGGTTGAGAGCACTGGCTGCTCTTCCAGAGGTCCTGAGTTCAATTCCCAGCAACCACATGGTAGCTCACAACCATCCATAATGAGATCTGGTGCCCTCTTCTGGCCTGCAGGCAGACATGGAGGCAGAGTGCTGTATACATAATAAATAAATAAAAATCAGAAGGAGGAGGAGGAGGAGGAGGAGGAGGAGGAGGAGGAGGAAGAAGAAGAAGAAGAAGAAGAAGAAGAAGAAGAAGAAGAAGAAGAAGAAGAAGAAGAAGAAGAAGAAGAAGAAGAAGAGAGGTAGGTAAGAGAAAAGCCTTTGGACAAGAATCAAACATTTCTAATGAGGGAAAACCAAACATCATCATCACAGAGGACAGGAAGCCTCAGCATTGTAAGACATTATGTTTATTCACTATAAACACTCTCCTCATAGCCTTCATGTTATAACCAGAACCGATTTTAAGGGTTACATAGAAAGGGCGAGGAGAAAAAAAGAATGTTCAACACAACTCTGAAGAAAGAATACACACATTAACTCTACCTGACTTAAGACATCCTATAAAACTACCACAATCATTTGGTAAGCAATGAACAGATAACTGAAGCAGAAACCCTAGAAACAAACCCACAAAAATAGACCCAATTTTAGACAAAAGAGCGAAAGAGCCTCATGAAAGAGCTGTGCTGTTCACAAAACAAAATCAATGCGCTTAGCTATTAGGGAAATGGTATAACTACTTTGAAACTCTATGTCACATCAGCCAGAAACAAGGAAACAAATAACAAACGCTGGTGAGGATGTAGGCAAAGGGGCCTCATTCAATGCTGCAACCCGTACAGAGTAAGTGGGATGTTTCTCAACATTAAAAACAGAGCAGTCATATATCTGAGTAGAAGCTGACTATACTACTAGGTCTATATACCCAACTCTTTTAAAAGTGTAATGGTTAGTTTTTGTCCACTTGACACAATCCTGAGTCACCTGGGAAGGAGTAACCTCAACTGAGAGCTGCCATAGGACAGTGATTGATGGCGAGTTTCCAACCTGCTGTGGCCCCTGGGCAGCTGAGCAAGTCAGGAAAGAATGCAGTATGGGGCAGTCCTCCTGGGCTGTTTCACGCCCCGATCCTGGGTCCTGCCTTACTTCCCTCGATGAGTATGCTGAGTTAGATCCTTTCTTCTCCTGGCTGGTTTTGGTCAATGTTTTGTCACAGTCAACAGAAAAACACACTGGGACAGTCATTGTTAACACATTGCTTCAACAAGCTTTGACCACACTGTTGGGGGAACATAGTAAATGGATTTTAAAGTTTGGAGCTAGAAAAGCTCATTTAGTGCTCAGAGCTAAAATGGCAGTTTGATCCAGGCGGTGATGGCACAAACCTTTAGTTCCAGCAGGTGGATCTCTGAGTTCAAGGCCTCTACAGAGTGAATTCCAAGCCAACAAGGGCTACATTGTGACACCCAATCTATGTTTAACAAATCTATAAAAACAAACCAAAACAGCTGGGAAAAAAAAACATAAAAATAGCAGGAATCCTGAGACCTTTACCAATTCTTATCAAAACATCTGGGGCTGGAGAGATGGCAGAGAAATTAAGAGCACTTGCTCTGGCAGAGGGATCAGGCTCAGCCCCAGCACCCACATAATGGCTGACAACTATCTGGAACTCCGGTCCAACGGGATCTGACACCCTCTCCTGACTTCCATGAGCATCAGACACCCAGGGCACAGACAGACATACATGCAACAAAACACTCCTACATCTAAATGCAAACTTTTCAAAAATTATAAAAAACATGAATAACACCACAGAGAGCTTTTGAGGTAGAAAGTGTAACCCTGAAGACACGGTGGCACATGCCTGTAATTCCAGCTATTAGGAAGCAGACACAGGAGGACTGTTGCAACTTCAAGGCCAGCAATGCAACCTATAAGTTCAAGGTCAGCCTGGGCTACAGAGTAAGACCAAGAAAACAAAAAACAAATAAATAGATGAAAATGAAATTGGAAACATCACCAGTATTGAGAATCAGAATGTTCTATTATCTTCATAGTAAAAAAACCTTATGAAATAATTTCACCTTGCTAACATAGAAGGTGCCCATGCACCCCTAGTTTCATGAACTCACCTGTCCCCTGCACAACTCTCACAGCCCAACCCCACCCCTATGCTTGAGCTCCTCACCCCCAATTCTTCCTGTTTTGTTACCAATGTGCTACAATTTTCCCTCAAGTGATGACACACCAACCTAAGGAGAAAAAAAATGCAGTTTTCATCCTCCCAGCACAGGTTTATCAGCTCACTGCATATTTTTAATCCAGGTTCATCCACTAACCCGCAAACTTCAGAATTTCTTCTTCACAGAAGCCCATTATGTACGCACATTTTTACTATCCACTCACCAGCTGGTGGATGTGTAGGCTGTTCCCATTTCCCAGTTATTACTGATAATGAACATGGCTGTGCACGTATCTCCTGTAGTAAGATAAGGAGTCCTTTGATCATTTGTCCCGGAGTGCTTACAGCTAGGTCATGTGTAAGTTACAAGGGAGAGACCCTACATAAATGATGCTTCTAAAAGCCAATGGCTACTAAGCCGTAACTCCAGTACAGGAGTGAGTTACTGCCATGTTTTATTAGCTATTAGTCAGGTAGGCCCCAGAAGTCTCCTAAATAACACACCCTCTTGGCTGCCCACCACAGTGGTTGTTATTGCTGAAGACGCCATACACACTGCTACAATACAGCAAGATACCAAACTGGAGCTGAGCTAAGAGGTTCCTCCTGTTGGCTGACTTTCACAGTACCCAGCTGTGACCTCTACAACATACAGTAGCAAGCTCCCAAGCAAGGCGTGCCCCCAAGCAGTAGTGGCATAACCACTCCAAGGATAGCCAGACTGCTCCCTCACGGGATCTGAGGCTCACTCCATAAGAGAAGCCACGCAGGCAGTTAAGGCAGCCAAAACCCCACGTCTGAGACAGGACGGATGAACTTAGCACTACTGTTTAGCTAAATTGTCCCAGCACCCAGTTACCATCTAAACACAATTTAGACCCACAGAAATCAGAGCAGTCTCTCTCTGCAGAGATGCACAGCCACTCAAGGTGCTGAGAGTCGACACCAGAGTGCTCAGTCACAAACAGGAAATTATACCACCACTTCTAAGGCTCAGAGGTCACTGTAGAAGGGGCACAGAAAACGAAAGGGGGCGGGGGGGGGGGGGGTGGCACACATCTTTAGTCCCAGCACTGAGGAGGCAGGGGCAGGGGGATCTCAGTGAGTGCGAGGCCAGCCTGGACTACGCCTGTCTCAAAAAGACAAACAAAAAGGCCCAGAAGATAGAAAGATGGGATGTAAAATGCTGATTTCTGGGCATGGCAGAGCTAAAGCCGTTCCTTACTGAGGAACTCTGGAGGAGCAAGTCACCGTCTACAATCGTGTGCCCACTGAGCTGCCCAGCAAGCTCCAATGGACAGGCTCACCCATGGTCACACAGACGATCCTGGTTAAAACCTCAAAACCAAAGGGGGGTGGGACATGGGTATTTCAAAGGGGACTGTAAGCAGGGGTTGACTAAAGAGGGTAAAGGGAAACTAGGGAGTGGGGCATGACAATAGTCAGAACATCCTTTATATACATATGAAATTATTAAACTGTGTCCTGGTGCGTGCCTGTTATTCATTATCCACGGAAAATCCCAAGAACAAAAACTCAAGGAATTAATCAGATACTATAGCAAACTTGTAGGAAACAGGATTAGTATACAAAATTCCATTTTCCTGTATGTAAGCAATAAACAATAGGTTGTGAAAATAAAAAACATTACACTGCTTATATAACACCAAGGAGAAAGACACAAAAATAATATAAGTACGTATGGAAATAGAGGCAGGAGAATCAGGAGTTCAGGTCATTCTTGCCTTCAAGAGCCTATTTCAAAAAATACACGCTAATTAATTAAAAGAAAAGACTGAAGAGGTGGCTCAGTGGTTTAGAATACAGCTGTTCTTTCAGAGGACCTGGGTTCAACTCCCAGCACACAGGACAGTTCACAACCATCTGCAACTACAGTTTTCAGGAGATCTGATGACCTCTGCTAGCATCTGCAGGTACTAGGCATACAAGCAGTGTACAGACATACATGCAAGCAAAACATTCATACATGTAAAAGTTGCTGGACAGTGGTCCTGCAAGCCTTTAATCTGAGTTGAGGCCATTCTGGTCCAAGAGGAGTTTCCAACAGTCACTGTTACACAGTGAAACCCTGTCTTTAAAAAAAAAAAATGTAGCTAATGTCTATAGTTTTTTGTTATATTTATTTGCATGCATTTCTGTCTTTCTCCTTGGTGGCATATAAGTAGTATAATAAGCAACCTGTTGCTTATTGTTGACATACACAAAAATGGAATTTTGTATACTAATCCTATATCCTTTAGATACTGATTAATCCCCCGAATATCTGTTAGTTCTTCTGAATCTCAATAGCTTTCTGACCTTTTCTTGATTTATGGCACACTTTTGTTGATCCTCCTCCCCCAAAGTGTTGGCATGATCATACAATTTTTCTTAATTGTGGATATAGTGGATTACATTGGCTGTTAATTTTTCCTTTTTGAATGTGGGAATTAGCTTTACCAGTGGGATACATGAATAGTCTCAGTCTTGAGGTTTCTGTTGGTCCTACACACATGCCTTAACTTCCACTTGACCATGACACAATAGTTTTGGGTTTGTTTTTATTTATGAATTTATTTTTGACAATTTTAACTTTTTACTGTATTTGTAGGAGTGTTTTTCCTGCCAGTGTGTCTGCACACCATCTGTAAGCCAGGTGTTCAAGGAGAACAGAACAGGGTGTTGCACGGAGCTATATGGCTGTGATCCACTGAATGGATACTGGAGTTGAACTTGTGTCCTTTAAGAGCAGACAGCACTCTGAACTGAGCCAGCTCTCCAGCCCCAATTTTTACAATTAAAAAAAAATCTAAATTAATTTTTAACCTTATTTTATTTCTGTCTTTGAGAAACAGGGTTTCTCTGTGCAGCCCTGGCTGTCCTGAAACTCACTCTATAGCCCTAGCTGCCTTGAACTCAGAGATCCGCCTGCCTCTGCTTCCATTAAAGGCATGTGCCACCACCGCCCAGCTAACTGCAAATGTCTAATAAAAATACTCAACTTACACACAGGAGAACTACTGCCGAATAGCAGACAGACAGTTGATCTCAGGCTGTGCTTTGCTCTATGTCACTCCACACTGAAGTCAGGCTCTTGCCCTGAGAGAGAGAGCAGTTTCTGACTCCACTTTGAGAGAAGACAAATGATTATAGCCCCTGGGTAGATCTAAAAACTCCGACATCTGATTACCCATGCAGCACAAACTAGGAAACAACTTATTCCTGGAAGTAGAAAAGTAGAAAATGATCAGGGTGAGCTGAGACTACGGGAAAGGTGGGCATATTAAAATCCTATCATTCCTTTGATCCCAGTACTTGGGAGGCAGAGGCAGAGGCAGGTGGATTTCTGTAAACTCAAGGTCAGCACACTGAAAGTTCCAAGGCAGCTGGAACCACAGTGAGACACTATCTCAAAATAAAAAATCCTTAGGCATGATGGCACATCCCTTTTATCCCAGCACTTGACAGAGGCAGGTGAATTTCTCAGTCAAGGCCAGCCTGGTTTACATAGTATGTAAACCTGGTTCCAGGTCAGCCATTGCTGTGTAGTGAGACCCTGTCAAAATATGTATGTTGTGTGTATGTACAAATGTACAATTTAAGTGTGTGTGTGTGTATGTGTATGTATGTGTGTGTATATCTGTGTATGTATGTGTGTGTGTTTAAAATGCTTTAGAGGAGGATGCAACTCCCTTGCTTAGCCTCAGGAAGTGATGGACACCTCGCCTGGGTCCCTATCTGTCCACTGAGAACAGCTCACCTCAGCCCCCACCTGCCGTTCATCTTACGGCTGGAACACCAGAACTACACTCTCAAACCTGAGTCTTCTCCAGACATCACTCAAAGTTCCCTCCTGGGGCTCACTGGTCATGAGCTCTAATTTATCTCGTCAACTGAAACACTATTTACATTTCTCTCAGCCAACTTCTTGGACCCTTTGAACCCTGATGCTTTTCGAACAGCATGTGTGCATATACATATATATTTACTGTGTGTTATGAAGTTAATATTAGTAATTACAATTTGCAAAAAAAGAACCCGCCTTAACCTCAACCACATTATCACTGGAAGCATGACACCTTTTAAATTCCTATTCAACAAATCCAGACACTGTGGAAAGATGCAAACGTATTTGTCTGTGTTTTTGGCACATGACAGCCACAAGCCTAAAATGTCAGTTCCCAGTGTCAATTACAGACTTAAACAATTCCCATGAAAATGTTTAAAACTCCTGACAAGTAAAAGAAAACGATTACTAGATTATATACAAATATTTTTTAAAAAAATAAGAGCGGTTGGCACAATGCAGATGAACCCACAGCACACACGTAACATTCCCAATCAAATACACAAGACAGCGCACTAAGAACAAAAAGACCCACAAACCAACTGAAAAATAAGGAAACAAACTGACCTCTGATAAAAGCAGCAAAGGAAATCCACTGAGCAGTCTTTTCTAGAACTGTTTCTGGGACACCATTCTTAAGAAATACTTTGGACAAAGACTGAGAAAATTTCACAAAATTAACTCAGAGTTACTCCTGGACCTAAATGTGACTCGCCAAGTCCAGAACGCCCAGACCCCAGAGGAGAGCGCGCAGCAGTAAGTGCGACACCAAAAGCACGGGCAGGGCGCCAGCGCCGGCCGGTGACGTCACCGACCCGGAAGCCACCCGCCAAGGGCGGAGCCTTCCGCTCCCCGCGCTCTGAGCAGACATGGCCGGAAAGGCGGAAGTGGCCGGAATCCTCCGAGGCAGGGCCTGGCCCGGGACGGGGCTACGGTGGCCGCATGAACCTCAACAGGGTGCCCGGTGCGCCGGCCGCTCCCACGCCTCCCCCGGCCCGGGGAGGGCCCGGTGCAGCGGCGCCCGCGGCTCAGCCGGCTGCTCCTCCCCGTGAGGGGACAGCGGCCCCGCGCTCACCCCGGCGCGGCTGCCGAGCTCGTCCGCGCTCGCCTCACAGCTTCCCGCAGAGGCGCTCACGGCGCAGCGCACGGGCCCTCGCGACGCCTGCTTGGGACGCGGAGCGGGACTCGCAGCATGGCGGCGGCTGAGAGCCCGCCTCCCGCCCGCGGCCGGCGCTCTTGATTGGACGCCCTGCTCCGAGCCCTGATTGGCGAGAGCTGGCGCTTGATGGACAGGAGTGCCCCGGACACCGCCGCGTGGAGCCGCCGTCTCTCGGCCTAACTGGCCAGTGCGGCCTGCATGACGGAGCAGTTCTTCAGGCTCCTGAGCGAGCGGCCAGGCCCGAGGGCGATTGGCTCACACCACCCACGAGGCCTGAGCACTTGTGAATGAGCGGCCTGCCCCAGGGCCTGATTGGCCGCTGAGACCCGCTCAGGTGAGCGGAAACCTAGAGACAGGGACCGCAGATCTGCTTCGGGGAGATCAGCATTGAAGCAGAACTTGTTCTTGCCTCCCAGAATTGTCACTGCTGTCTTCTCGCACTCAGTGGGTCCTTACCGGTCTTCCTCTTGGACAGAGGCTTGCTTGTGTGAACAGCCGGTCCGCACAGTGCCCAAGGCAGCGGTCCCTTTGCCTCACAGCTAGACTAGCGCCCGACTCTCCCAGGGCAAACCATAACATGACTTGACGTCCCCCGGGGATCCGGAATTTCAGCAGGGCACGCCAAAGATTGCTCGAACTTTAACAAGCTGCACATTCTCTTTTTAACCAGAAAACACACACACACACACACACTCCAAGCCCGATGTAGTGTTGCTTTTCCTGCAATCCCAACACCAGGGAATGGAAGCAAAGGGAGCAGGAATTACGCATATACTTGATGAGTAAAAGGGAAAAACTTCTCATAACAAACACAAACTGAATGAATTCCAGACCACTTTGCCAGAACAACAGAAGGTGTTTGAGGGAGCCTTACACACTGAAGACGCACGCATCCATGGGGCCGCCGGAATGTCTAAACCACAATAGAATAGTGAGGAAGACGGGAGATCGTAGTGCATTCTTAAACAGGTACTTAGCAGAGGAGAGCGGTTCTGAGCCAAATGGAACTGATTCAGAGTGCCTCCACTTTTGACCCGAGGGCTTACTCCAGACTCTTGTCCAAAAGAAATCCCCTCTTTGCTGAGGCCTTTTCATCTCTGGCACCCACTGGGCTAATTAATGCCTAGCAGCAGACGTTAAACACGCACGCACGCCCCTCAACCCCATCCCACTAAAGGCCACGCAAAGCCTACTTGGTGGGCATGGCTGCTCTAACTCCCTCCTGCCCGCTACACCTGTGTTTTCACAATTAACCCATTTGTTTAAGATTTAAGCAAGCACTTAGAAAAGTGCTTTTACTGTAAGGCATTTCTTTCTCCTGCCCAGTACATATGGTCCATGGAATTAAACACAGGTGTTTGTGCCCCAAAAGCTACGTGGCCAGCCATAAACTGGGTTTTGCCCCAACCTTTGTTGTGTTACCGACTGCAGAGACAGGACGGGGCGTGCGCTTGTGTTGAAAGAGGCCTCAGTGAGTGAACTAACGTGGACTGTGGAGCCCAGCAAAGGCCATGGAAATGGTGGAGACCCTGAGAATTCAACAGCTGATCAGTCCATGAAGCTTAGTGAGGCCCATTAGTCCCGTTCTGGCAGCGAGGGCCTGGACAATCCCTAGAACTGTGCTGTTCAGTAAACTGGCAGACCAAAGGGGCTGCAGTCTGACGTCACTAGAGGGCTGGAGCAGTGCCAACAGCTGTCACAACAGGTGCATTCAGCAGCTATACACAATACATACAGGCAGGAACATTGCTTTTTCTTCAGACATCTTTATATCCAGGCCACAAAGCAGAAAGTGAGGCCACTTACATGTGAAGCCTGTACCCAACTGGGGCTCTGGCAGATAGTGGCTCTGAGGGGACACATTAAGCCACCTATCCCATAAGAGAATGACAGACAAACCATCCAGGGATGCCCTGAGCATCTTACAAGTGTTCACATGCAAGCAAGGAACACAGGAGACACCATCAAGGGCTTCCCCCAACCCAGTGTGTGTGTGTGTGTGTGTGTGTGTGTGTGTGTGTGTGTGTGTCCACACTGCCAGTGAATGGGGAGTGACTTCACAAGCCCTGATGCTAGGTCTGGGCTAAAGATAACCTGCCCCAATGACACTTTCACATGCCTTGAAAATATACTGGGGCTAGGTTACTTTTTAAATGGGATAGTAAAACAACAGTTTGTTAGCTGCTTAAAAACATGCCACACCCTATTGACACAAAGCTCATAAGGTTGTTTTGCAGGTTACAGAGAGAGAATTTTCACTAACAGTGTTGCTCAGCTGAAGACACTGTGTATTACAGAACCAAAAGGCTAGCCAAGCTGTGCTTGCTGGTGCAATAATGGCATGGCTACCATGGGTACAACAATAAGCTTTCCCACTGGATCTAATGCAACTCTACAGGAGGAAATAAGTGTCTGGTACAATAGGCCAGGGCATCATAGGCCCCAGCTGCAAAATAACTTCTATGTTTTTTGTTTGTTTTGTTTTTCAAGACACAGTATCTCTGTATAGCCCTGGCTGTCCTGGAACTCTTTCTGTAGACCAGGCTGGCCTCGAACTCACAGACGTGCCTCTGCCTCCTGAGTGCTGGGATTAAAGGCTTACGCTACTACTGCCCAGCTTAATTTACTGTTTCAATGGATGGAAGTATCGTGTCTGACAAACTGCCTTATAAGCGTCCACGGTTACACACACATGGACCACTGTTATCGTTATCTGCAGTTCATCCTGGAAGCAAACTCCCTTTTACAGTGATGCTGTACCCCAGAGATTCATAACCACCAGTAAGTTTCTGACATCAATATCACCCCCTCTAAAGCACAAAAAGTAATTAAAAAAAAGTTAAGAGTCACAGGAAGGGATGGCATTCTCCCAGAAAAGAAGAAGCAGCACCAGATTCAGGAAATAAACAAATTAACTTGTAAGTCCCAGAAAGCTAAAGCTTAAAATATATAGAGAGATAAAGGACTCTAAATTTGTCTAAATTGGCTTCAAGTTGTGCAGGGCTACAGGGCTGTAGTCAATACTCAAATTGGCGTGGGTGGTTTGGTGATATATCTGCTTTAAAGTTGTCCATGATCCTAGAAGCAACCCTATTAAATCATTGGCTTATCAGGCTGGGCTCTGGAAGAATCATTTTTTGCTTTCAATCTGAGATAAGTAAACACTTTTTCACATCACCCCACACAACAAGTCTCTGAGCTGTGACAGACGATGCGTTCACCACACTATTCACATCTTAGAGCTTCCACTGAGTATGAAGAACTGAAGAGATCTGTTCTGTACAAAGGAGTCACGTATGGATACATTTTACATTTATAGGGTTTTTCTCGAAGCACATGGGTTATATCTGTAGAACCCATGTCTAAAGAACACTGTGATATGTGGCTTTTTGGCCATCCTATCTACATTCACAGGACTTCCTTCCAGAATGAGTTCTTTTTTTGTAATTGCCAAGTGTAATATCTAAAAGCCTCAGCACAATGTTCAGTCACACAGCTTTCTCCAGTATACAGTTTCTTTACAAAACTGAAGGTGACTATCTAAGGGCTTCACCACAGTGCTGTCTTCATAATGTTTGAATCTCATGTGATTGGTTTCATGTAATTGCAAGGACCCATGAAACCTAAAGGTTTCCCAACATTATTTACATGGACAGCATTTGTTTTCTCCAGTATGGATTCTTTCATGTAACAGAAGATAACTGTGAAATGTAAAAGCTTTAGCATGTTATGGGTTTCTCTCCAGCATGAGTTCGTTCATGTCTCTGAAGATGACTGTGCCGTCTGAAGGCTTTTCCACACTGTTTACATTCATAGGGTTTTTCACCAGTATGAATTTTTTCATGTAACTGGAGATGATAGTGACGCCTAAAAGCTTTACCACACTGTTTACATTCATAAGGCTTTTCCCCAGTATGAATTTTTTCATGTAATGGCAAGGAACCAGGAAATCTAAAGGCTTTACCACACTGTTTACATTCATAGGGTTTTTCTCCAGTATGAATTTTTTCATGTAGCGGCAAGGCACCAGGAAATCTAAAGGCTTTACCACACTGTTTACACTCATAGGGTTTCTCTCCAGTATGAATTCTTTCATGTAATCGAAGATATTTGGGATATCTAAAGGCTTTACCACAGTAAGTGCATCCATAGAGTCTTTCAGTGTGAATTATTTCATGTCTTTGAAGGGAAGTAGAAGAACTCAAGGTTTTACCACATGTATTACATTCATAAAGCTTTCCCACAGCATGGGTTTCTCTGTGTGTATAAACAAAGGCCTTTCCACAGTCCTTGTATTGATAGGGTGTTTTTCCACTGTGAGTCTCTTGATGCATTCCTAATGAATTTGGAAAACAGAAAGCTTTTAAACATACCTCACATTCACAAGGCCCATTCCCAGTGTGAGCTCCCATACACCTTTGAAAGCTGGTGAGAGAGTTCAAGTCATACTGCTTGGCTCCACATTCCTCGGGCTCTTGTGGTGTATGAGGAGGGTAAGATGTGGTATGCCTACTAGAGGATGAAGGACACATGGAAACCTCTCCATGCGCTTTGGGTTCACATGGTGTTGGTCCAGGACAAGCTGCCATGCTGGAATGGAGATTTGCTATCCACATCATGGTTTCTTCACCCTGACCCTCTTCTGTACTCTCCTGGGGGATCTCTAGCACCCAGCTTCTGAAAAAGGACAAGCATGTTAGCGAGAGCTGCTTTACTCCCAGCTGCTTGCTGGTTTCCTGTTATCCACTGCTCCTGAAATCAGGTAAAGTGTGTGCTTTCTGACCTGTGTGACACCAAGTGGACTGCTGGTTCCACAATGTGACTCCCACAGAGCTGTACCAGAACAGTAGCATTCACTGACGCAAGTTCTAGTTGTGTTTCCATGAGAAAACACTCTAGAAACACTGATCGGCACTCCAACATTCAGCACATATTTAGGTGCCAAAATTTAGGTGTACTTTTCCTAACGACACAACTTAAAGCTGTTTTTTGTTTGTTTGTTTGTTTGTTTGTTTTGGTTTTTGGAGACAGTGTTTCAGTGTTTCTCTGTATTGTTTTGGAGGCTGACCTGGAACTCGCTTTGTAGACCAGGCTGGCCTCAAACTCACAGAGATCCACCTGCCTCTGCCTCCCGAGTGCTGGGATTAAAGGCGTGCGCCACCACCGCCCAACCTTAAAGCTGTTTTTGCTTTCTTAAATTTTCATGGGACATTAAAATTCCTTCAAGTACATTTGCTTCAACTTTTGATACAAATTACCTTAGATTTCTCCCAGGAATTCTATAAAAGTCTTCAACATTCTCCTCTTCCCATTTGTTTCCTAAAAGGTAATCCCAGAAAATTTAGGATAAATTATTAGAAATCGCTGGAAAAAAATTAGTTTCTAACTTCAATGTCCATAATAACAATGCCTGATTTCTTCACCACATTCTTGCCTTTCAACAGTCCAAACCCCAGCAGAGCATCAATGCCAAGAGACACTTGCTCCCTAACCTACAGCGACGCTAAGATGATGTTCTCACCTATGGCAGCGAGGTTCCGGCAGGTCTCCAGCATCACATCTCTGTACAGACTCTTCTGGGAAGGATCCAGCAGAGCCCACTCTTCCTGGGTGAAGTGCACAGCCACGTCCTCAAAGCTCACTGAGGCCTAAACATTGCACACATCGATTGACAAGAGGTTCATTCCACACTGTGGGGTCCACACATCTGTCCCATGACACAGACGCTGTCTTGCAAACACTGAGGATGTGGAAGGAAGCAGCCCTGCAGCAGCACCCTCTCACGACTGGGCCCAGGCACAGGACGTGCTGCTGCTCTGCCCCGGTCCTCTTTCTACAGGGCACTTCCACTTCCTGTCTCAGAGCCCTCCCACCCGATAGAACAGCGGTGACACTAGTATGTGAGCGTCTGCTTGTCCTTAGAAATTCCTGGTAGCAATGTTTACATTTTGATGGTGTAAGGGAACTTAGTATTTTGATAGAATTCACATAAAATACCAGTATTTTGATAGAATTCACATAAAGTACCAACAACCGAACATAAATGATTTCTGTAAATACTATAACACTTCCTAAACTCCCATTAGCCTTCAGAAAGAAAGTAGTGGCTATTGAATCTAATGAGGCTCTCTACTGGGCACTACTTGACAGGTGCTGCCACAGCGGTTACACAGGTAAAGGAGACTGAGAGGTGGCACATGCCCATAATCCCATCCCAGCATGCAGGAGCAGGGGCAGGCGGATCTCTCAGTTTGTGGCCAACCTAACCTGGTCTACAGAGTGAGTTCCAGGACAGCCAGGGCTACACAGAGAAACCCTATCCTGAGAAACAAAGAATGAAAGAAAGAAAGAAAGAAAGAAAGAAGAAAAACTGAAAGTCTTGAGTGGAAAGATTGTAGCAGCCAGACGGAGTGTGCTGTCGACTGTGTCTCCTAGTAATGTCAGAAGCTGCGCTCACAGTCTCATCAACAGGCCGCCCCAAGCGTGAGCTGAGCCACCAGTGGGCGGGCAAGCCGCGGGGACGGAAAGCCATGAAGCTTCAGTCTTACTCAAAGAACTGTAAGAAGCTGAGGGAAGAGGGAGTGGAAGAGCTGGCCTTCCCTGGGGACGAGCACACCAACTGGTGTCCAGTGCCAAATGGCGAAAACATACACACAATTAACATCGCATGGACTAAACAGGTTACATTTAGGAATATATATGTTATATGCATGCAATAACAATTACTGAAATAAGGGACCATGAATTTGAAGGAGAGCAGGGAGGGTTATATTGGAGAAGGTTTGGAGGGAAAAAAGGGAAGAAATGTAAGTGTATTATAATCTCAAAAGTATTTTTTTTAAATACAAGCCTTTCCAAATAGAAAATTCCTAGACAAACAAAAACTCAAGAAACTAATAAGATACTACAGCAAACTTTTGGAAAGCAAGATCAATATATGAAATCCATCATTTTCCAGTATAACACCTATGAACAATCAAATGATTAACAATTTCACACTGCATATATAGCACTGCAGATCAAAGGAGACAAAGAAAAACATACATTTTTTGGTTGTTTGTTTGCTTTTCAAGACAGGGTTTTTCTGTGTAACAGTCCTGGCTGTCCTGGAACTCACTCTGTAGACCATGCTGGGATGGTCTGACAGGCTGACACCACCACCACCACCACCCAGCGTGGTAAATTTAATAAAGATCTATGGATGAAGATGAATTTGTTTTTCAAAAAAATAGTCAAACCAGGCATGGTGGCACAGGTCTTTCAGACCAGCTCTTGGGAGGCAGAGACAAGCAGATATTTGAGGCCAGCCTGGTCTACAGAGCAAGTTCTAGGACAGGCTCCAAAGCAACAGAGACACCCTGTCTAGAGGCAGGGAGGGGGGATTCAAATAAGTGAAAAAAATCATGAGATATGCAATGTTCCTGGTAAACAGAAAACATCAAGATGTCACTTTCCAGCAGCTGGAGAGTTGGCTCAGGGGTTAAGAGAACGTATTGCTCTTCCAGAGGACCTGCGTTCAATTCCCAGTACCCAAAATAATGGGTACCTATCACCTGTAATAGTAGTCACAGGGCAACCTAATGGCGTCTTCTAGACTCTATTGAACTGCATGTATGTGGCTCACAGACATACATGCAGGCAAAACAACCATATGCATTTTCCTCAATTTAAACTACAAATTCAACACAATCTCAACATCTTGTATGAAAGCTATTCTAAAGGTTATATGTAAAAGGAAAACTCAACGTCCAACACAATTCTGAAGACACAGTACACAAAATAACACTGGCTTTATCTCTAAGAAATTTAATAATCATGATAGTGTACGAATATCTGGAAACAAATCTATGTGCAAAAGAGTACAAAAGCCTCAAAACAAACACAATACAGTCAATTATTTAAAAAGAGCAAATGAAACTCAATTGAGATTAAGCTCTTCTCCGATATTATCCGACAACCTGGGCATCCATAATCAAAAAATTAGAGTTTACAACGTCCACAAAATTAACTCAAAGTGGATTCTCCACCTAAATGTAAAGATAACTCTGGGAAACCGTGGGACCTTGGGTTTAGCAAGCAGTAGCCAGGGACCAAAACAACGCTGTGAGTGACGTCACCCGCACGGAGGGCGGAGCCTCTCTGCGGCGCCCAGCGCAGACGCGAACGAGGGGCGGAGCTGCAGAGCGGCACCGCCCCCCTGCCGGAGTTCGCCGCGGGCCCAGCTCCGCACGCGGGAGGGGCCGCCAAAGCTGCCGCCGGTCCCCGTCTGAGGACAGCGACCCGCGCTCACCATGTCGCGGGTTCCGAGCTGGCCTGCGCTCTCCTCACGGCTCGAGGCAGTGGCACTCACAGTGCAGCACACGCGCCCGCGGGGCCTCCCTCAGCCGCGGAGCCCAGTCCACAGCACGGCGGCCAGGCAGAACCCGCCTCCCGCCTCCCCGCGACGCTTGTGATTGGGCGGTGTGAGCTCCGAGGCCCTGATTGGCTAGGGCCGCTCTATGTATCTCCTGAGTGACAGCAGGAGCTGAAGTGACGAACTGGCAGTCCCTGCCCTGGCCTGCCTTCTGCTCCTGCTGACTTGGGCCTGCTCGGAGCGATTGGCGAGCTGGCTCAGCAGGCACCAGGTGGTTCTACAGTGTGCTTGCCTCCCGTGCGCCACCAGCGCAACCCAGCCTACCCTGGTTCCAGTCGGTATTGGAGGTGCCCGAGAGAGGATGCGAGCACTTGCCGCTCGCTCTTCAAACCCACATCAGGTGGCTCCCAAATGTCTGCAACCACAGCCCCAAGATCTCCTCTGGCCTGCACTCCATGCTGTCCTAGTTAGAGTGACTATGACCGAAGCAACCGGGGAGGAAAGGGTTTCTTTGGTTTCCCATATCCAGAATCACAATCCACTGAGGGAGTCAGGCAGGAGCTCACACAGGACAGGAACCTGGAGGCAGGAGCTGATGCAGAGGCCACGGAGGGAGCTGCTTATTGGCTTGGTCCCCAAGGCTTTAGGACCCAGTGGCACCAAGCCAGCACCCACAATGCGCTGGACTCTCCTCCATGAATCACTAATTAAGAAAATACAGCCAGGTGATAGTAGCGCAATCTTTAATCCCAGCACTCAGGAGGCAGAGGCAGGCGGACTTGAGTTCGAGGCCAGCCTGGTCTATAGACAGTCAAGGGTGCACAACTGAAACCCTGTCTCTAAAAACAAACGCAAACAAAAAGAAGAGGGCCCACAGGCTTCCTAAAGCCCAGTCTCAAGGCCGTTTTCTCAGTTGAGGCTCCCTCTTCTCTGATGACTCTGGCTTGTGGCAAGTTGACATAAAACTAGCCAGTACACATGCACATAATTAAAGATGATAAAAATAGGGACTGAAGAAATGCCTCAGTGGTTAAGAGCACTGGCTGGTCTTCCAGAGGACCCGGGTTCGATTCCCAACACCCACATGGCAGCTCACAACTGTCTATAACTCCAGTTCCTGGGGACCTGACACCGTCACACCAATGCACATAACGTTTTTTTTTTTTTTAATTGAAGTAGGGGCTGGGCCGGGCGTTGGTGGCGCACGCCTTTAATCCCAGCACTCGGGAGGCAGAGGCAGGCGGATCTCTGTGAGTTCAAGGCCAGCCTGGTCTACAAAGTGAGTTCCAATACAGAGAATCTCCAAAACAATACAGAGAAACCCTGTCTCGAAAAACCAAAAAATAAAAATAAAATAAAAATAAAAAAATGAAGTAGGGGCTGGAGAGATGGCTCAGTGGCTGAATGCTGTTTGTCAGTCACTTTTCTAGTACGATGACAAAACATCATCAAGGCAAATTAGAAAAGAATGCAGCCCACCTTAGGCCCCAGCAGGCTTTGAAGGCCAGGCCACAAGCAGCTGGAGCAGCAGCTGAGAACTCTCACCTTGATGCACAAACAGGCGGCAGGGAGCACAGAAGGAATGGGACAAGTCTTTTTGAAACCTCAAAGACCACCCCATGACAGAGCTCCCCAACAAGGCCATACCCAGTTTTTCCCAATGGTGACCACTGGGAACCAAAAATTCAAACACTGTCATTGAAACCACCACAGTCACTCCCTGGCCACCATAGACCAAATGCACTTAGTCCAATTTCAAAAGTCTCCATAGACTTCCACAGTATCAACACTATTTAAAGGTCCAAATATCTTCTAAGACTCATGACAATCTCATAACCCCTGAAAAAAAGCAAACCACATACTTCCACATACAAGGGCACAGAATATGCACTGTTACTCTAAGAGGAGGAAGGGGGCACAGTGAGGAAATGCTGGCCCAAAGCAAGAGCAAACCCTAGCAGAGCGAGCCCCAAACCCTTTGGCTCCATGCCCAGGGCTTTGCTGCCCACCTTGTCTCTCTTGGGCTGGTTCCATTCCCTCTTTCCTAAGCAGATGGCTCTCGAGGAGTCAGGGACCTCCACTCAGACATAGGCTCACTTTCACAACTTCTCACAATGGCTTCTCAGCGCATGCAGTGGCTCCCCTGCTACACACCTGGCCTCAGTGGCTCTCCACAACTAATGAGGAAGATTCCATGACCCCTTTCCCAATGTTTCCTTCAAGACTCTAAAGCCAGAACTGCAGACATGGCCAAGGCCTACCTTCTTGGGATAGAGCCATGAGTCACATTTGCAG